TCGATGAAACACTACTTGCGAGAGAATTGAAGAACGATCGAACGAAATAAGAGATTTTTAGCTCGGATTGTTCGACGTGGCACTTTAAAGCTCGGCATGTTTACTGTCCACTGACCCACATATGGGTCAAGGCAGATTTGACTCCGCAAATATCGTCGATACGATTAAAACTGAAAAAGGCATACAATACAGAGTAAAGTGCGATATATAAATCGCTGATAGTTTCATTACCGAAATTAATATCTCTGCTGCTCGGAGATAAATGAGAATTCTATTTATTTTAACGTTTTCTCTTTATGCAACAAATGTTCACGACTGTAGTCAAGGGGATAATTATTCAGTCGGTTCAGGTAGTCTCTTTATGTCGCATATATTCATTTATAACGTTTCCGACCTCCACTTTTTGCGTCACTCTCGGTGATAAACATAAGAAATTACGTTTTAAAATGTCACGCTATTCTGCATATGACCACCGCACGTTTGAATACAGGGGCGTTTACTTCACACGTGTGCCAATATTTAAAACTGATCGAGTTTGTCAACCAGCGCGAAAAATACAATTTAAAGTTTCAAGTCGTAATAAAAGTCACTGCTAAACGTAATTTTTAAATATCTCCGTCTTCCAATGGATTTTCTGAGGCCAGTTATACCGAAGAGTCATCCGCGTGACATTTGCATATTTGAGCATAGCCTAGACGGAATTAATGTATTTTAAAATATTCCCAAGACTTCGTACTTTGAGCAAGAGTACAAAAAATTAGTATCGCGATATTTATCTCGATGGATAACGCGCCGATGCAATTCCATTATCGGTTGATATCGGTAATTAACGAGCGTCGTTAAAAATGGCTGTCCGATCGGGGTCTCTAGTTGTTCCGTATCGATCGGATGTTTTCTCTAATATTACCTCGCGGTCGAGCCTTGAAAAGCAAGGCTTTCGAGGCCACGAAATTCGAAGGGACTTTTATCTTATCGGCGGCCATATTGGCTATTAACAGGACGAGTTACGCTTTCGCCTGGCAACGCATCGCGTATACGCCGCCGGGGCTTAGCGTTTCGCGACGTCGCAATACCCAGCATCGAACACGAGGAAGCTTTTCCTGTACGCTGGTTTCGAGCAACGGGGGGAGCCCTTGAAACTGTCGCGCGAGGTCGCTTCGATCGAAGCTGCGGCCGCAGCTGCTAGGAATGCTTACCACCAAAAGTCGCTTTATAAGCTTGACATTCCAGCTGGTATCGTGCCAACGCTAATCGTCACGATATTGCGGCACGCTCGTGACGTTTTTCATGCTCGTGTGTCCTTTCACTCTAGCCAGGTGCCACGGAATCGCGGGCCGCATCGACCGCTCGAAAATCATTTAAAGGTCCCCCGTTGTATTTCCAAACGTTGTTCGATCATCCATCGGTCGGACCGGTAGGTATATCCCCGGAAGAAGAGTTGGCAATGCTCGCCAACACGAACCAGCCGCGACAAGTCACGCAGTTTGCGTACACGGAAGTCCTTCGTAAGACCATCCACGGTTCGAACGACAGATTTAACTGTTCCAGCGACGATTACGCCCCGGAAGTGAACGGAAACTGCCACCCGGATCCGCAAAAACACCGACCGAAACGAACTTTTCCGAGCTCCTTCGAAACGCGCGAAATTTTGAATAGAGATCACTAGGGCTGATAATTGATTTTGTAAAAATTAAGAAAGAAAAGTAATTCGATAATAAAAATTTTTTTGCGATATTAGGAAAACTAAAGCAAGATTCTGTTTGCAGAATCTTGGAAATAATAGATAGAAATAAGTATCTCAGGATTAGCATCGAGTATGTAACAAGATAAAAATGAAAAATTAAGCAAATCAGGTAATTGGATCCGACTTTTTACGAATTGTTGTACTACCGGTTTCGTGTGACTGTCGCAGTTATTAGATAACCGACATACAACGAGACACGTGCACAATGACATAACGTGTAATTGCTTTAATCTATTCGATAGTGTTCGTAAAAAAAAAAAACTGTTTTCTTCGAAGAAATTATACCTCGATGGTAAGTAAGGTATCGTTGTAATTACAAAGATTAAGAAAACAAGAAATTATCGAAATTATGAATTTTTACTAACTAGATTCGAAAACGTTCCCATTGAAAATTCCGTGTTTAAATCGTGGCTGATGGGCCACCCTGTATATCGAACGTTTCTCGTTTCGATGGGTGCCGTTGTTTCTGCGCGGAGGCCTCTGTTCGCAATGGCCCGCGAGCGCCTACACTTATCCGGGTCCCGTAATTCGTAGCACCTGGCTCGAGTGAAAGGACACGGACGAGAAAGGATTTGTTGGTGGGTCGTGCGCGATCCTCGGGGATACAGTTATCGTAATTCGGTTAAGCGCAAGTGGCCATGCAAGGATTTTGAAACGGCACATAAATTACTTGGCCTTGCGCCCGCGAACTCGTTCGATCCGATCAACCGCGCATTATCGCGCTCCGATCGGAACCGTTTTCGTTTCCCGGTTCACGAATCGTAATATTACGAATTTAACAAAATATACAAATGGATACTTTTCTGTTTTTTTACATCGATCTTTCAACTTCTCGAGTATATTTGAAAGTACCAATGAAGATTTTCCATTTTTCTTTAACACTAGAAAGACTGAAACTTAGTATATACCTATATTGCCCAAAAGCAGTCGAAATGACTGCATCGTGAAAGAATAAATAATGTGTAAAGAAATTTGTTAAAAATTAATTTTTAATATTATGGTATAATATTATGAATTTAGGGCGCAGAAGTAAAATAAACAACTTGTTAGAACAAGTATCACTGCATAAAGATTCGAATAACAAGTACTACTTTAGCTTATTGAGAAACTGTAATTTATCAATAGGTCAAGGTTAGGTCTGGGTTAGGTCTGGATTAGATCTGGATTAGATCTGGGTTAGGTCTGGAATAGATCTGGGTTAGGTCTGGGTTAGGTCTGGGTTAGGTCTGGGTTAGGTCTCATTTACACTGTTGTTGTATTTTGTAATTTCCAAGTGTATGATTTGGTTTGGACTCGAAAAAATGTCGAATGGGACTTGACGAACAATGCTTTTAAGTGTTTTATTTGCAATTTACCTGTTAAAATAAGTGTTTTATTTACACTGTTGTTGTATTTTGTAATTTCCAAGTGTATGATATCTGTTTGGTTTGGACTTGAAAGAATGTCGAGTGAGACTTGACGAAGGTGCTCCTGAGATCAAAATTGATGTCGAATCACACTCGACATAGGAGTGCAAAGGGTTAAGATAATTTGGATTATTAACTAATCCAGACCTAACCCAGACCTAAACCAGACCTAACCCAGATCTAATTCAGATCTAATTCAGATCTAATCCAGACCTAACCCAGAGCTAACTCAGATCTAATCCAGACCTAACCCAGAGCTAACTCAGATCTAATCCAGACCTAACCCAGACCTAACTCAGATCTAACTCAGATCTAATCCAGACCTAACCCAGATCTAGGGTCTGGGTTAGGTCTGGATTATGTCTCGGTTAGGTCTGGGTTAGGTCTGGATTAGATCTGAGTTAGCTCTGGGTTAGCTCTGGGTTAGGTCTGGATTAGATCTGAATTAGATCTGGGTTAGGTCTAAGATAATTTGGATTATTAACTAATCCAGACCTAACCCAGACCTAACCCAGACCTAACCCAGATCTAACCCAGATCTAATTCAGATCTAATCCAGACCTAACCCAGAGCTAACTCAGATCTAATCCAGACCTAACCCAGACCTAACTCAGATCTAACTCAGATCTAACTCAGATCTAATCCAGACCTAACCCAGATCTAGGGTCTGGGTTAGGTGTGGGTTAGGTCTGGATAATGTCTCGGTTAGGTCTGGGTTAGGTCTGGATTAGATCTGGGTTAGGTCTGGGTTAGGTCTGGGTTAGGTAAGCCCAAATCGACAATTTATCATGTACTTGTATGTTATCATGTGTTGGTAATCGAAAAAAAAATGAAAACTGTTATTTCAATACAGAGTCGATCTGGTCATATAAGAAATTTACTCAATTCAATAATAAGAGTCATTTGATTATTTAAAATTTCCCAAGCAGTCAAAATGACTGCTTTTTTGGGCAATATAGGTATAACACATATAATATATATACCGGAAATGAAGGAGGGGTGAGGTAACTACAATTATTAATAAACGCATTTATATGTTGTACAAAAAGTCACAAAATTCTAAGAAATTGTGTCATTATATACATAATTGTTTTTCTAAGTGAAATTAAAAAGCAGTCAAAATGACTTCCTTGGGCAATCTAGTGTTAATTACATTGCACGTTTTTTTGCAAGTGTAATTATGCGTTCCGCGGACTGATCTGCGGTTATTGCGCGTCACGTTGCACGACTTAATTACGATTCTGATTGAGATATTCATTAGTACCTGGCGACGTATATGGTTACGGTTATGAAATCGGATCGAAATTGCATCAATGGCAACGCAACGACGGGGCCTGCCTCGATTTTAAATTACGAACAACTGCGTAAATCGGAGAGCAACTCGATGCGTATTTACGATCTACGAGCTAAAGAATTGGTACACTCGGTTTTATTTGCCTTGGGTTACCCTGAATAAACGATTTAACATCTACTGGCCAGTTACTTAGTAAATAAAACTATAAAAAGGAGAGTAAAGCATACAAATATCGATATGAATCTTGTAAGTAACTGGAGTTATATTTTTTCGATAAATAACAATCGAGAATCATGTATTATTTTACTGACTAAAAGCTACCCTTGAAATTACTAACGAAATAGTTGGTAAAATATTTAAAAAACGTATCCAGACAGCAGTACCATCTTAACGTGCTAACGAATGGCCACACGTTGATTTTTATTCGTTATTTGCCGTTCGAATAAACTATCGTCCGTCTCTGACGACGAGCAAAGGCCTTCCGCGTGTCTCCGACGTCGTGAATCTAAAATTAGAGACACGAAAGTGTCCATCGAGCCTTCGATAAATTACATACCAGCATCCTGGCTGCTTCGTACGAACCCATAGATCGATCCCAGAAATCTGGCCGTGTCTTCGAACGTATCGACGCAGAAGAAAGCGCACGGGTTATTGAAAAGGCAAACACGCGATATCTCGATCACGTGGCCGCCAGATATCTCCGTAAACCTATCGTCTGGTAATACTAATCGGCCACGACTTCCGCGTGGCGTCCGTGCACGAACGTCGTCGTCGGGAGCTTGCGAATTGCGCGTAAAATCGCCGTGAACGATTGCATAATGACCAGCGCGGATGCAACGACGGTGCACACGTGTCAGCGCGTGGCACAGTGCAACGATACCGTGGCACAACCGGCTGTTACCAACTCGCGAAACCGCGCCTTTCCTGCCACGACGTATCGTTAAAAATATTTTTCGTCCAAAAGGAAACGGGGGACCACGATAACACGGAAAAAAAAAAAGAAAACCAGCAATGCTTCTCTAAACGAAGGTGTTAGCTAGTCACAGAACTATAAGACGCGTACGAAAATAGGAGAGAATTTTGTAGAAGGTGTTTTTACGAGGTATTGGAAGACCTTAACGATGAACTTTCTTTTTTTAATAATTAAAAACTTCTTTATAGAATGTAAAATGGACTTACGGGTCCATCGATGCTTATATAGGGTGTTCGAATTCAAAATAAGACGAAAATCAAGAATACTAATTTGTTGATGGAGGCTTTGTTAAAAAGTTATTAACTTTTAAAGTTTCACCCGTAGTGAATTTTTTTTCTCGAAAATGTGCAGGATTTTGGGGATATGTCTATTCACCAAAAATGGTTGTAATAGACCCCCGCAACCGACAATAATTTTTTTAGAACGATTTGAAAAATTTTTTCTTCGCCGACAAATTTCACCCATTCTCGAATTTTTTTCTCGAAAGTGGGTAAGATTTCAAGGGTATGTCTAATGACCAAAGATAATTGTAATTAACCCCTGCAATCGAAAATAATTTTTTTAGAACGATTTGAAAAATTTTTTTTCGCCGAAAAATTTCACACCTTCTCGAATTTTTTTCTAGAAAATGGGTAGGATTTCAATGGTATGTCTAATGACCAAAGATAATTGTAATTGACCCCTGCAATCGAAAATAATTTTTTTAGAACGATTTGAAAAATTTTTTTTCGCCGAAAAATTTCACACCTTCTCGATTTTTTTCTAGGAAATGGGTAGGAATTCGTGGCTATGTCTAATGACCAAATATAATTGTAATTAACCCCTGCAACTGAAAATAATTTTTTCAGATCGATTTGAAATTTTTTTTTCCGTCGAGAAATTTCAGACCTTCTCGAATTTTTTTCTTGAAACTGCGTAGGATTTCGGGGGTATGTCTATTCACCAAAAATGATTGTAACCGACCCCCGCAACCGACAATAATTTTTTTAGAACGATTTGAAATTTTTTAATTTCACCGACAAATTCACCCATTCTCGATTTTTTTCCTAGAAAATGGGTAGGAATTCGTGGGTATGTCTAATGACCAAATATAATTGTAATTGACCCCCGCAACCGAAAATAATTTTTCCAGAGCGATTTGAAATTTTCGAATTTAATTGTTAATAACTTATTAACGAAGCCTAAAAACAAAAATAATTTTTTACTCAATATTTGCATGTAGATTACAGAAGAAACAAAATAGTATCATCTACAATTTTTGGGCTTTTCAAAGCAAATTTAATATTTCTGATATTAAAGCGTTCAGTTTTGCTCTTTGCTGTAATTTCGATCTGGACGCGCGAGCAATTTGGGTGCGAGGAGACGGATACACGCGTAGCCAAGTCGAAACGCTGTAACAGTCGGAACGTATCACCTTCGTCAAGGTGACGGATCGAAAGAGCAGTGCCAGGATGATTAGAGGGTCCCAAAATTAAATCGCGGCGATCGAGCAATTTTCTAATACGCTGCAGATTGATCGCGCGTGCGGCAAAGGTCGCGGAACGGTAGCCAGATCGGAACCGAACCAGCGTTGCAACTTTCAAGAACGGAGGGCAATCCGAAGATCGTTGATTCCAATATCCAACACGCGCGTCATTATATAAATAAACCGAGAACATAGAACGTACGAACGACAAAACCAGAAAATGTTTTACGCGGCGTGTTTCGCCATCGACTTCTCGTCTAACAGTAAATGGGGTCCAATTAAAATCCAAGGGCGGGCGTTCGTCGTTTAATCAAAAGGCTACGTTAAACGCTAGAAATACATCAACGCCGCGTACCTTTTCAATCTATCCGCTATTGGACTGCCAAAAGAACGCTTCCAACGACGCCCAAAAATAAACTTACGCTTCCGGTAGGCTCGCGCTGTTTCGCAGCGTCGAAACGTCCGCGCGGAAACAAGTAACAAAGTATATTCGCTGAAAAGGCACGATCTCGTGAACTCTTTCCTATCTATCCCCGCGACTTCGATTTCGATCACCATTTCCATTTCCATTTCCATTTCCGGGTTCCCCCCTCTCGTTGCTTCTGGCCAACGATTTCTCGACGGAGAAAAACAATGTGTGCAGCCCCGATATACGGAGGATCGCGTCGACGACCAGCCAGCTCGAGTCTAATTTAAAGAAACTCGAGAGACACTTCGAGAGCCCGGTTCTCGGCAAAAATCGAGAGTTCCCTCGAGATTGACCCACCGTGTTCCACTTTTGAGGAGTGCAAGCACGAAACTGGGTCGACTGGCCGAAGTAACACAAGGGGGTGCACGGTTTACGGACGAAGCTATCCCGGCTAGCCGTGCAGCTCCCGTCACGCGGACATGTTTCAGACACGCTATTCCGACCTACAACCGACGACGGAAACTTCCCGAACGCTTCGATGTTTACGAAAGATTCGTAAATTAAGGGGGCAGTCCCATATGAGACCTTAAGAATATCAATTTTTTTTTTAATTCATTTTATGAAAGCATACATATTTAAGAAACTTCCCGAACGCTTCGATGTTTACGAAAGATTCGTAAATTGAGGGGGGAGTCCCATATGAGACCTCAAGAATATCGATTTTTTTTTTTTACTTCATTTTTTGAAAGTATACATATTTGAGAATGTACTGGTAAATTTTGAGAGATAAATGTCAAGTATTGTGTTTTTTGTATTTTTGTGTAGTCCTCGGGGTAATTACCGGAGTCATTGCTTGGGGGTGATTACCATGCACAGCTCAGATATTACCGTTTCGAAAAAAGAAATCAATGCGTACGGATGCGGAAGACGGTGTTCCGTCGGTGTTATCGAATCGCTAGCACCGAAGCACCTACGTGGCAAGTCGTTACGCGCGACAGTGGATAACGACAGATGGACGGACACGGTTCCCGTACCTGTTTTGTACCTCTAATGCACGCGGAGGTCGTGGACTATCCAGTTTCACGATGATAATCAACGCTGTAAGAGTAGACTGGAATATCGAAATCCGAGACGGCCCCGAACGAGATACAAAGCCGTCGTTTTGGATTCTTTTCGCTACATCCGTTCTGCCTTTGGCCACAGGCGCGCGCAGCCATCCTCGTGCGTGCACTTATCGGTTCGAATATCGCGGATCTCAGTGTGAATTTAAACGACTCGACAGGTATCGTTAACCGATTTATGGGCTCCATTGAACCCGCTCGGTTTAAACGGCCCGCCGCGTTTTCGGGTTAAGCGACTATACTATCGTTGCTAGATAAGTCAAACGGTGTATAATAGCATGGACGAGATGCAACGAGTAGAACTTACAATTAGAGTCAATTAGTACTTTTTCGGTCGATTTTTCTAGGAATTTAGAAACTCATTACGATTTTAGTGTCAATCGCGACGTTATCAATAGGTTACAGAAATGAACAGAAGAGGAAGTGAAATGGAAGATGAAATTACAGAAATTTTATTGTTTTTTAATCGATTACTTTCGTTGAAAAAATAAAATTCGCTAAAGAATTTTTTTCTCGAAAATGCGGAGGAATTCGAAGGTATGTCTAATGACCAAAAATGATTGTAATTGGCCCCCGCAATTAAAAATAATTTTTTTAAAACGATTTGAAATTTTTTAATTTCGAAGAAAAATTTAATACCTTATCGAATTTTTTTCTCGAAAATGCGTAGGATTTCGAGGGTAGGTTTATTCACCAAAAACGCTTGTATTTGGCCCTCACAACTAAAGATAATTTTTTTAGAACGATTTGATATTTTTCAATTTTGCCGAAAAATTTCGCACCTACTCGAATTTTTTTCTCGGAAATGCGTAGGATTTTTGGGATATGTGTATTGACCAAAAATGATTGTAATTGGCCCCCGCAACGGAAAATAATTTTTCCAAAATGATTCGAAACTGTTCAATTTTGCCGAAATATCTCACATCTTCTCGAATTTTTTTCACAAAAATGCTTAGGATTTCGAGGGTATGCCTATTCACCAAAAATGCTTGTAATTGGCCCCCGCAAACAAAAATAATTTTTTTAGAACCATTTGAAACTTTTCAATTTTGCCGAAAAATTCCAGCACCTACTCGAATTTTTTTCTCGAAAATGCGTAGGATTTCGAGGGTATGTCTATTCACCAAAAATGATTGTAATTGGCCCCCACAACGGAAAATAATTTTTTTAGAACCATTTGAAACTTTTCAATTTTGCCGAAAAATTTCAGCACCTACTCGAATTTTTTTCTCAAAAATGCTTAGGATTTCGAGGGTATGTCTATTCATAAAAAATGATTGTAATTAACCCCCACAGCTGAAAATAATTTTTTTAGAACGATTTGAAATCTTTTTATTTCGCCGATTTTCTGAATATAAAATGTACTCCAATCTAATTAATCTTACTATTTTTAGATGCGTAATACTTCTAATTGAGCAGTCATGTTCACAAATATAGATACTAGTCAAATCTTGGGACCGTAGGAATATATAGAATATGTGTTTGTCATTCTTGATAATCATTTGATAGTGTGATATCAATATAGTTGGAGATAATGAATTGCACGTGATAGTAGGATTGTACCAAAATAAAAGATGCTCAAGGCAAAAAGGAGTTCGTAATACAATAGTACAACATTAGAATCAATGGAGTAGACTATCGATTAATAAAAAAAATATTTAAATTAAAATCTTGGGAAAGTCTGAATAACAAAATGTAACCAAGTTTCGTAACGTAATATATCAAACAAACTATTCTCATCGACGCACAGTAACAATTATCTGGATGATTGCTACTATTTTCAATCTCCACTGCTGTCAGAAAAGCCAACTTCAATTAAAAGATAAATTTAAGTCGTTACTATTGAAAATGGTCTAAGCTTCCATCTAAAAAATCTTTCATTTTCTTCATCAATTTTATCAATCACCATTACGTGATAAAATGTAACCAGTGAATAGTTTTGCAAATTTTTAAATATCTCTATGTACGGGAAGCTTGTACCACTTCCAAAAATGAATCTACGTAAACTTTCCCAAGGAAACGTGGTCAATAATAATAACAACAACGCGCGAAAAAATGTCGATTCGAGTTTGGAGACGTCCGTGGGGGGAGATCGCGGAGACGCGTCGCAAAGTGTTGATCTGTCCCCC